AACCAGTGAAAGAGAAGAAAAAAGTAGAATGAAGGAGAGAGAGGACATTATACTTTAAAACACTTCAAAGTCTGCCAAAGGAAAGAGACATTACATTTGTTCTGTACGGCTTTGGGGAACAAGACAAGTGACAGGGAGACTGCTCAGCTCAACACAAAGAACAGGTCAGAGACCAAAGGGGTGACTTTGGAAGGTGTGGTGACACTGCTTCAGCTGAATGTGTCATGCCTTACTTCAGTTCAAGCTGGGTGCACCTCTTGATGGATATGTTACAGAGGGAATTCAAGCATGAAATAGGTGACTGGACTGCAGTGATATGATTTCTTTCAACCTCCAAAATCTAGGATTCTGTAAATGTCTCTCTCACTAAGGAAACCACAAAGATATAAGTAGGTTATCAGCAGTAAAGCATACCAAATGGCATATAGAACTTGATGGCATATAGATTTTCCCTGTTTTAATTAGTGAAATCAGGATTTAGTTTAAAATGAAAGTATACCTCCTTTTCTGCCAGTTAAGACAGACTCTTGCAACTGAAAGTTATTGTTTCTAAAAGACATCAAAAACATACACAATTTTCTTTTGTAATTCCAGAGGGGTGTCGTAAAACCAGTGCGCATCTTTCCCATCTTGTGGGGTTAATTCTACTCATTTGGTGGATTTATCTCCAACCATAACATGTTGGTTTCCCATGTCAGAGTTAAGGGAATCAGTATCAAACTCAAAGAAGCTTCATCTTTCTGAATACAAGAATGTTCTTTTAATTCTTCCTAGAATAATTTATATTGAAGCTAGTAGTCTCTCCTTTAAAGCTTTTGACTCAAGACGTATAATTCTTATGTTTGCCTCAAACAAATTACTAAGTATGGAGTATGGAATGAGACTACAATGATGCTTTATTTCCAAAGGCAGTGGGAGTCAGACTCTTAATGATTAAGTGTGTGGCTAGCTGTGCACATTGCTCAGGATGGGGATGGTGGGTAGTGTTGGAAATCAAACTGTTTTTAGTAAAGGAAGACGAAAAGAGGTACCAAGGAAAGGAGGGCAATCTACTTTGAAGCTGCAATAGATCAAAGACCTATACTGGTTTGCAAGGAGATGGCTAGTATCTTAGTGAAAATATTTCTACTGCTGACAGTGGCCAGATGAGCAGTTATTCATGTTTCCTTTCCTAATTTCTCCATGCATCTGCTGTATCAATTTTCTCGTCACAATGAACTCTGGGTTTCCAAACAGCCTTGTCTCTAAAGGACCTTATGTACCCAAATGACTAAGTAATTTCTCCCTCCAAAACTGGCTAGCCCAGAATATAAGCATAGACCCAACAAGAGGTTTCCTATAGAAGGTGCTTACCTACTACATAACCATGTTTTTTCAAGAGAGTAAGTTGATTTTGTTCCTGCCATTCTACTGCTTCTGTTGCATCTTGTTAAAGCCTTCTTTGCCTTTGAAACATCCTGTAAGGAGTTGGATTACAAATAGGAAACTTGAGAAGGTTTTAATGTAGCACCTGAAGCAGCAAAGAATAAATACGTTGTTATAAACATTGTATAAGAAAAGAGAATAAGGAGAGAAAACTTAACATTTAGGAGGAGCTACACTATCTTAGGTACTGTGGTTATTTCACTCAGCTTTCATGACAGCTCTCTACAAAATTATTCCTACTTTACAGACTAGGAAACAGGATCAGAGACTGGCTCACAGGCTTAATTAATAACTAGGAGTTGAATCCCAAATCTGTAGGCCTGATTTCTTTCTATTTCCCCCGTACTACTAACTGGTATTAAAGCACTTCTGCGTATAATTCAACCAAAGTCCGCTACAGGAAAAACAGCTTTTCAAAGTTAAGGACTGGTTTCAAAGGAACAAACGAAGTAGTTAGTTTTGCAGCTGTTAAATACAAACAGGGTTATAGAAGAACCCATTTTACAATTACTATAGATGTGTCTTAAAGTCACAAAGTTGACACTTCTTCTCAATGAAGCCACACATCACATTGCCTTAG